TTTATCACTGACTTCTATAAATCTTTCCATGGACCCCGTATTGTTCATAGATAAGTGTAGAAAAGGGAGCTAGAAACATTTGTCTTCTTCCACGGTACCTTCAATGAAAGCTTTTCATCAACAAATCTTGAAAATTGTCATTACAGAAGAAGGTTTCCCTGCAGTGCTATATCAGCATACTTTTGGTCTTGCATTTTTATCAATATGTGGTCTTTAATTAAAATTTTCACTCGCTAATTTGAGTTCCAAGGGCAGGAATCTTACTATACTTTGTTCTTTGTTGTATATTCATAGAATACCTCAGAAGATATACAATTCTGATACCAGTGATATTGTAACCAAGCTGAGAGAGAAAAGATTTACATCCATGAAAGGCAATAGGACTATTCAAGGCAAATATTGAGACTTGAGAGGTGGATGTAGGTAACAAGGTCTTGGGAAGTTGATATGAAGACAGATGTATCTGTCTTAGGGAAACTGGGTAGACCTAGAGATGACCATTAAAAGAAGGGTAGAATTAGGCTAAATAAAGGGACATGGTAGAGGTAATACAGATAAAGAAAAAGGCCCAAAATGAAGAATGAAAATTAATTATTCAAAGAATCAAGAATAGAAATGCTTGTTTTAGGGATAGTACAAGAAGATGCAATGAGTTTAAATGAGAAAGAGTTAGAAAATCAAGATAAGTAATTAGTTTGGACCTTCCAAATCCACCAAAGACCAAAGTGTCTATGTTAGTTAGAGTTCAGCAGAGCAAAAGTGTCAATATTTTTTTAAAATGTACAAGTATACAGAGGATTTATTGGGCAGGCTTACAGGATCAGAAAAGGAAGAATCTCATTGGCTGTCTGAGGAATTGGCAGCAATAGAATCCAAAACTGTCATCTGTGCATTAAAGAACTGCAGTAGCTGTCAAAGGGCCAAAACCTGAATGCTTCCTATGATCACTGCTGTAAGTCTGTGTCAGGACACCAGAGTCTATACTGTAAGGCTGAAGACTGTACTATGCCCAAAGGCAACAGCCAAGACCAGAGATCCATTCCCCACAAAAGAGGAAAACTTCCTTCTGATTTTCCTTTTTCTTCTGTCAAGGCTACAAGAGCATATTTGGTGCCTACATGTGGGGTGGAGTCTTCCATCCTCAGTTTGTGGCTTATATGTCAATCATTTATGACACACCAGAGCTTTTCTAATCAGTTCTTCAGTTCTTACTCAAGGTAACTTGACATACCACAATAAATGATCACAACATTAAAGTCTTGTTGCCTCTACTAGGGTTATTAGAAAGTCATGGAAACTTTAAGAGGTGGGTACTAGTATGAGTTCTTCATCTCACTGGGGCATGCTCTTGAGAGGAATAATGAGGCCACAGCCCATTCCTTACCCTCTCTTTTACTTTTACATCCTAGCCTTGAGGAGGGTGGTTTTCCTCTGCCATATGCTTCTACCATGATGTGACTGTATACAACAGACAAAAAGCAAGAAGGGGCCTGAAGCTCACCCAGAAACCAGCTGCTCAGAAGTACACACCCCAGCCGGGACCCCACCTGGACACCAGCAACTTGGGTGCACAGGCCTCAGCCAAAGGCCCAAGTGGAAAACCGCTGTGCAGGGTGCAAAGGCCCCAGCCAGAAGCCCACTTGGACAACAGCCCAGTGGGGGAATCCAGAAGGTCATCATTCTGAACCCAGGGATTGGCACAATGATAAGCAGCAGAGAGAAGGCCTCTCTGAGGCTTGTTGAGAATTGAAGCCTACTAGAAGAGCAAAGATTCACTGCAATAAAGGCACAGCTGACTGCACAAGTTGAAATGAGAAGACACCTAAACAAGTCTCACAACCAGACTTCAGATCACCTAAGGCAATCCCATGGGGAAATGAAACAGAACAATCTGAAACTCAACCACCTAGACTTCCTGAACTGACAATGAAAGAAGATCTGGAAAAAATTAAATCAGAAATAATTTCTCAGATAACAACAGAGGTTGTGTCCTTAGTGAAAGACATGATTAATAACTCTAGAGAAGACACAGATAAAAAAAGAATAGAGGAGCTGAGAAATATGATGGAATCTCAGCATAGGAAACAAATGGAATCCATAAAACAGATGCAAACAGATATCTAGGATATTTAAAATGCCATTGAAACTATGCACCAGAATGAGTCAAAGTGGAGAAAGAATATCAGATATGGAAGGCAGGATTATGATTAGTGACCAGGAAAAGAAAGATTTCTTAAAAATAGCAAGGGACCTTGAAAAATCAATCCAGCAGCTGCTAGATGATGGAAAGAAGAATAACATAAAACTGATCAGTCAATGAAGAAACAGGAGATAGCACAAATGACATTTTAAAAAACCATTCACAGAAGTAATGGCAGAAAACTTCCCAAGCAGGGGGAAAGAATTTGACATATAGATAAATGAGGCATATACATCAACAGCCATGATTAAAAAAATCTACACCTAAGCATATATAATAGTCAAAATTCTAGAAACCCAACAGAAAAACAAAATTCTACAAGCAATTAGAGAAAAGAAACAAATCACATTCAAAGGAAAGCACAGCAGACTTCTCAATGCAAACCCCCAAGGGAAGAAGAGCTTGGAGATATATTTCAAACCCTAAAGGAAAACAGCCTCCAACCCAGATTGATGTACTCTGCAAAACTATCTTTCAAAATTGATGGAGAAATAAGATACTCTCATGATAAAGAGCACCTTAGAAACTTCATGAATACCAAACCAGTACTCCAAAAAATTTTAAACAATATCCTAGGAAAAGACAATGAGAGTCACAATCCCAGGAAGCCCAGAAAAATGAATCCATCAGGCAAGACAAGAAATTAAATGCAAAGAGGGAGAATCCAACAATAGGAAAAAGTCATGACAAGGATAAGTCAATGCATATCAGTTATAACCATCAATGTTAACGGTCTCAATTCACCAATCAAAAGAAATAGACTGGCAGAATGTGTCCAGAAGCAAGATCCAACAATATGCTCCATACAAGAAAAACATAGCTGATTGGCATAGCCTACAGTTGTTTCTGTATCTTCTATTCTGTTCCATTGATCCACAAATCTTTTTTTTTAGTTGTTTGTTTGCTTGCCAATACTATGCTGTTTTCTTAACTGTAGCTTTGTAGTATAACTTGAAGTCTGGACTTATAATGCCTCTTGCCTTGCCCTTGTTGTCCAAAGTTGCTTTTGCTATCCTAGGTCTCTTTGGTTCTATTTGAATTTTAGAATTGCTTTCTCCAGTTCTGTGAGGAGGGTTATTGGTATTTTGATTGATATTGCATGAAATCTGTACAATAGTTTTGAATGTATGACCATTGTGACTATATTGATTCTGCTTATCTAGGAATAGGTGATATTTTTCCATTTTCTGATATCCTCTTCAATCTCCTTTATCAGTGCACTGTAGTTTTAATTGTAGGGATCTTTTACTTCCTGGGATAGATTAATTCCTAAGAATTGCATTTTTCTTGGTGCTATTGTGAAGGGTATTATTTCTCTAATTTCCCTCTCAGTGACTTTGTAATTCATGTACAGGAACACTATTGGTTTTTCAGTGCTGACTTTGTATCTTGATACATTGCTGAATGTGAATATTATTTCTAGGACTCTCGGTGGAGTTATTGGGGTTTTCTAGGTAGAGGATCACATCATCAGTAAATAATGATAATTTAATTTCTACCTTCAGTATTTGTATTCATTTTATTTCTTTCTCTTATTGCTTATTTGTCTTATTGCTCTAGCTAATGTTTCAAGAACTATATTAAACAGAAGTGGTGATAGTGGATATCCTTGTCTTGTTCCTGATTTTGAGGGAAAGCGTTCAGCTTCTATATGATGTTGGCAGTTAGGTTGTCATAGATGGCTTTTATCAGGTTGAGATTATGATGTTCAATTCCTGTTTTCCTTAGTGTTTTTCTAATGAATGGATGCTGGATTTTGTCAAAGGCTTTTTCTGCATCCATGAGATGATCATGCAATTTTTGTCTTTGTAAGTAATATACCTTGCAACTAATACACCTACATTGATTTTCATACCCCAAACTATCCCTGCATCTCTGGAATGAATCCTACTTGGTAATGATATATGATCTTTTTGATGATTTTCTGCATTCTGCTGACAGGTCTTATTGTGTTCATTAAAGAGATTGACCCATAGTTCTCTTTTTCATTTGGGTACTTTTCTGGATTTGGAATCAGGGTAATGCTTACTTTCCAGGAATGACTTTGAGAATACTGCTTCTGTTGCGATTTCATTAAAGAATTTGAGGAGTACTCATGTTAGATCTTCTCTAAAGTCTTTGTAGAATTTGGCAGTGGGACCACTGGGTCCTGAGCTTTTCTTACTTGGTAGTTTTTCAAAATTACTTCTTCACTTTCTTTGACTAATATGGAATTATTCTAGATTTTTTTCTTGGATCAGCTTTGGTAGTGGAGTTTATCTATTTCATTTGAATACTCCATTATGTTGTTGAACTGGTTCTGCAAATAGTTATCAATAATCTTGTGGATTTCCACAGAATCCATTATAATTTAACATTTTTCATTTCTAATTGCATAGACTAAGGTCTTTTCTTTCATTACTTTGGTTAGATTAGCTAAGATGTTGTCTATTTTATTTAATATTTCAAGGAATGAGCTCTTCATAGATTCTTTGTATTTTTCTTAGTTCTAATTTTATTAGTTTCTGCTCTAATTTGTATAATTTTCTTCCTCATGCTAGCTCTGTGCTTGGATTTTTCTTGATATTCTAGGACCTTGAGGTGCATTTTTAGGTTATTTAAGCTCCTGTTTTTCTAATGTAGGAGTTCACTGCTTTGAAGTTTCCTCTTAGGACTTCTTTGCATCCCATAGTATGTCATACTAGCATTATCATTTGATTACAGAAACTAGTTTCTCCTTTAATTTCATCTGTAACCCACTAATTATTCAAGAGAATATTGTTGTATTGTTTAATTTTCATGTGTTTGCATAGTTTATGTTTCTTTTGCCATTGATTTCTAATTTAATTGCACTATGATCTCATAATATGCATGGGATAATTTTGATTCTTTTGCATTCAATTAAACATGCTTTATTTGCTAGTATGTACTCTGCTACAGAGAAAGTCCCATGTGCTGCTGAAGAATATGTTTTCTTTTGTTGTTGGATGGAATACTCTATTCATATCTATTAAGACCATTTGTTTGAAAATTTTTTCAACTCATATTTCCTTGTTGATTTTTTTGTCTATTTGATCTATCTATTCATGACATTGGGGTGTCACATTACTATTATATTGGTGTTTATCTGAGAAAGAAAGAATGAGAATATGCATGAATGAAAGACTTAATATGTGAATGTTTATATAAATAAATGTGCAAATGAAAGTTTTTTTAAAAAGCAAGAAGGCCAATAGATCATTGAATGAAGCCTCTAAAGCTCTGGGACAAAATAAAACTTGTCTGTTTATAAGTTGATTATAGTCATGGTGTATTAATTGGCTCTCTGTCACTGGGAAGAATTACATGACATATGCAACTGAAATTAAAAAAAGGTT